ATAAAAATCACATTATGTTCACTAAAATGTAAATATTATTTACCAAAAACTTTATAAACTTAAACAACTACTGTTCTGAACCAAACATACTTCATCACAGCCTCCAGACAAACAATTGTAAAAAGTGTAAATACTATATAGTAGTTTATCACAAACAACTTTAACTACTGATGTCTGGTATTAACACTTTTTTGGCTTCTTATTATACGACATTAGTTCAGCTCTCTCAGTTACTTGATGAGGAAAAGCTCGTTTGGGTGGCGCTTTTCTCTCCCAGGCTGGTTTCTTCGATTGCCGTGCGAAACCATGCTCAGCTGTGAGAGCTGCTCTTGCTGGCCTCCCAGTCTGTACGCACTGCCTTCCACCAACTGGTCTTTTCCTCCTCTGGACTGAAAGGCGATTCACCCCAATGTTGCCCTGGTTGTGTTTGGGCCTGTTGTATTTGACCACACGATTGAAGTTGTGCATGGCGGACAGGACAGCATTTTCAGAGGATGACTTTGCTCTTCGGAAACCATCCATAAAACGCTGCACTGCTCCGACAAACACTTCTGGTCGGTTCTTGAGGCCATTCAAGACATAGGCATCAAATTGAGACCACATCTCTATTGCATTGTTTGCCTCTGCAGAAATGTCCACTGAAATAGGAAAATTGTTTTTATGGGTTTTCAAAAGAAGAAAGACAGAAAAAAAGTGTAAAATAGCTTTGAAACATTATTTATTACCTGCATTATTATCTGATGAGACTACCTGCATATCTTCACCCAATTCGTTGTCAATTGCACTGTCTCCATTATTCTCTCCTGTAACACATGAAAAAGGTTATAAAAATTTCCAACAAATTGTCTGCAGTGATTATTAAAAATTTGAAGTTAAGACAATAGTTACCAGATGTAATTGTTGAAGGGACAGGTACAGCTGGGAAACCAGTTGAAAACTGTGTTGGTCCACTTTTTAGGGACCCATACCAGCCTGGTGGTGCTTCAACTGTGCTCATTATTTTATGGAGGGCAAGTTTTGCCTCTTCATCTTGAAATGGTAAAAATTGTGATGATGACAATTTGAATTCTTCGATTACTGCAAATTGGTGCTTGCAGGCCTTTCCATTTCGTCCAACCGGACAACCACAAAGCTCCAAGTTCATGTCAACAACATACTTGGTTTTCTTTGTTAAATTTTCAACAATGTAAAAGTTTTCCTCAGAAGTTGCAGAACAGATGAGGTCAGACAATTTCTCAGGTCTTGTGAAATGTTTTGATTTGTAGAAGTTCTCAGTGCGGTTGTTCAACACAAAGGAAATTCTTCGCTCATAGTAAAGTTCAAGACGAGATGTCATGAAGTCAAACAGCTGGACTAAACTGTAAGCCCTAGTTCTCTCCATAATACTCTCCTTCATTTGTCTTATTGAACTTTCGGCATAATTATTTGTGTTGTTTCCTCTAGTCAGGTAATCTGAGCGGAAGCACAGTGCCCACTCAGAGCGTCTATCATAGAGGTCGATTACATGTTTCTTTAGGATGGAATTAGATGATACCTCTGAATATTCAAGAATCTTTGAATATGACTCCATAAACTCTTTCTCTTCCTCAACATAACACCAATCCCTAAAGAGATTAAAAATGTGCAGTTGATCATTGGTGCTTACTTTATGTTCAGATAGGGTAACATATTTCCAGAAAGCTTGTAAAATGTGAAATAAGCAGAGCAACAGAATAGCATCAGGAAAAACATTCATGATAGCATTTCGCTCAGCTGTAGAATCATCCGTCATGAATATTTCTGGGCCTTTAGAACCTCGCCCATAAAACCCATTAGGAGGCACTATTGTCATCAGTAGCTTTAATCCTATTGTGACCATTTCTTCAGATTCAGAGCTGGTAAGTATTAAGCCAACTGGCAAGGCTCCAGCAACACTAGGAGAAAGGATCACAAAGATCCTGTTATTTTGTCGATCCATGCCTCCTCCAGCATCCATAAATACCATCTCACTACACGTTTTCAGGTTCAGGTGAACCCTTTTCATGAGTGGAGTGCAGATTGCTACAACTACATCACTGTCTGTTTTTTCAACTGCTGCACAAACAGATCCACAGTCTGTATTGTACTTGTTAACAGCATCTTGGAGAGATTGCAGCATTTCCTGCCCATCAGGGACACCATAATGAGCTTTGAAAGTCTTGTAGTACAGTTGGTAGCACCATTGTTTGGTAGGGCATTGGGCCCCATCAGCTAGCACTTTGAAGAATTCGTCTCCATGTTTCATTTGCAAATCAAAAGTGAAAGTGCGGTGAGCTGAGGAGGGTGAGTGGCCAGATCTATACAGTTCAAGGAAAGCGTCTTTAACTTGTTGTGTAGGTCGGCGCAGCCTTAAACTATCAGCTACTGCAAGAGGATGGTTGTGAAAATTATTTATAACAATTTCACAAGGTGCAGTTTTCAAGAACTTATCAGAACTCCTATAAAAAAAAATTACACACACAAATAAATGTATAAGGGTATGAAAAGCAAAAATTGTTGACATGGTAATTCATTCAAACCAAAATATTTCACCTCACCTCTGCATTTTAAAGTTTTTTACTGTTATCATTAATGACGCTTCACAAAGTGTATGTTTGTATCTGCATTTCTTTGTTTTTGGCCTGTATTGTGCTAAGGTATTGTTGTGACATCTAAATTCTTTCTGTAATAGTAAAATTATACAAATTATTTACCAAACAGATCTAGATTGAGGTCAAAATGAACGAGCCAGCTTACACTCTTAATGAAAAGCCATTAATTTCTTTTGTGGTTTTTTTTTTCAAAGCTTGACTGATAAGATAAAATACAGTGGGGCCTTTAATTTTAATTTTGAATAAATTGCAAAAAGGTGTACCTTAAATATGATGCAAGGTGTATTTTCCTCAAACGTTCGCCTGACTCTCCAGTCAGTTGACGAAGACGTTTGGTAGTCAGCCAGCCATTGCAATGCCTCCTCTTTGCTGCGAAGGTTCACCCTGAGCAGCGCTGTACACATCTCACCACGGTTCATGCTCACAATTTTTGGGTAAGGGTGTGCTTGATCTAATGCGACAACAAAGTGCTCATACTCTGGAAGGGTGGCCTAAAAACAAAGAAGACAAGTAATGTCATCACCCTCATTTCTTGAAAAACAATAAATGATGTACGTTAGATAAAAATCAGATACCTGAAAAGCACTTCTGAGAACTATTGGGTCCTGGACAATTTAAAATTAAAACAATAAATTACAAACAGAGTACAAAATTATGCATTGACAGAAAAGTTCAGGCAAAGATACTCACTTGAAACTCATTAGTATTAGCATTATTAGAAATGACCACATTAGAGCTACCAGCAGCAGTTGACACCTAACATTCATACAATCAATACATACACTTTAGACAATAATATTTCAGAGTGAAAGGAAGCAATATCATAGTATAACTGAGAATTACTAGATATTTATTTCTTACAGAAAGGAAATCATTCTGACTCTCCAAGACTAAAATATCAGAGGCCTGGCGCAATGGCACACTTGTTTCATTTGGGGATTCAGTTGGTGCTTGTACCTAAAATCAAATAACTGTGTATTAACCCATGTGTATTAAACACTATGAAGGAACCATCAAAGTAATGTCATGTAGATCCCTACAGAAGGAATATCACCACCACCATTTAAAAGAGACGATTGCACTTTCTTGCTAAGGGACAGTTTAGTTACTCTTCTTTGCTTA